CCGCCGAGGGGGCGGCCGCGGGCGCGCCGCGAGGCAGCGCCGCGGGGGCGGCGCGAGGCGGCGGCGCGCCGCCCGCCGCGAGTGCCGACCGCGGGCCCGGCGCGGAGGGCGCCGGCGAGAGGGGGGCGCGCGCGCGGCGCCCTGGAGCTGGGCAGACTGGGCGCGCGGCGCACGGAGCCGGCAGCCAGCAGCGGCAGGGCGCCCGCGCGCCGCCCAGCGCAGCGAGAGGGGCGCATCGGGTACTCGAATAGACCGAAAGAAATTCCAGGGTCCCGCGTTTCTGCTTCGATGTTTCAGGGAATTCCCCCTTCCTCTACAGCGCCTGCTTGTGCTTGTGTCTAGTTGTCCCTCATGGGTCCTGGTGTCAAAGCCCTCTCGCCGCCGTGGACGTGCTGCCCCTGCTTACCCAGCGACTCAAAGTTTGAGCGAAAGTAGAGGGATGTGTTTCTCAGTTTTCGGCATCCGGAGGCCTTCGCAAGGGCCCGAGACAAGAAAAATAGCGACTCGGGATGCAAAACTGGCCCCAAGGAATGCGTCGAAACGCCGGGAGACCCTGCATTGAAAAATCCGCCGACCTTTCGGAGTGCGGGAGTGCGGAAGACGCTGTCGTTGTCGTCGTCGTCGTCGTCGTCGTCGTCCGTCAGAAGGAAATTGAGGAGGGGAGGGGGTGGCGACCAAGATGGCAAGGGGGATTGGAGGGGGACGACATGGGAGGAGCGAAGACGGGCAGGAGAGTGGGATAGGGAGGAAAGCGCAGGGGAAAGGAGAGATAACGCGGGGGGCTCACAAGCGCCCGCCGCAGGATCTGAACTGTTCGAAAGTTCTCCATGATGTCGACGCGCCGCTCCACAAACTGATCGCGGTACACGATGACGCTCATGATGCAGATGCACCGTGCAATCACTTGCGATAGTGTATACGTAAGTGCTGAGGAGCAGAGTAAGCATGAGTGAATAGCGTTTGAGGCGTAGGGTGTGGGTGAGGGGCACTGGAAGGGCAACAGAGGCAGGACCTGAGGAAATAGGCTGGGCAACGAGGCAGGGAAGGGGCGGCGTTGAAACCATCATGATGCAAGGGACGTGATGGACAGCGAGACTAGAGGGGCAACTAGGATTGACGGGACAATGGGGGGGGTGCATGCAGGTCATGGGAGCATTGGAAGGTGAATGGTGTCTGGGTAATGCAATCGAAGAGGGGCGGAAAGCAGGGGAAAAGATGGGATGGGATAGCAAGTGAGTGGCTCGAAGTGCAGGGGAAAATCATGACATGTCGGCACGGGGGGCGGGGAGAGGGGGGGCAAGACAGGGTGTCGGCGACGGCTGGATGGTTGGCAAAGGAAGAGGAAGCACAGGGAGAGATGTCAGGTAATTAGGACAAGGAGGGGGATGGAGGGGGGCTCGGGAGGAGTCAATGAATGTTTTGGGGCGTGCAGGGGAAGACAGGGCAGGAAGTACGGAAGGAGTAGAGTAAGAATAGTAGAGCGCACCTGGCTTAACGCGAAGTCTGGACATGCCAACCCCCTATCCCCTCACTTTCTCACCCCGACCCTGTCCCTCTTCCCACCCCTCCCCCCCGCTCCCGTTCCTCACCATCTCCGTCCCCATCATCTCTGCTCACCCTCCACTCCCTCGCTTTCCCCCTTCTCTTCCCTCCCCCGCTAGTTCGGCATGAGGAAGAAGGATCCTGGTGAAGACGGGTCATGCACGCTGGGCCTTTCCTCCAGACCAATCTCAAATGCAATATCGTGTTCTGATCGACGAGGGGCCCAGAAATGACCCGGTGAGCCCGAACAACGGCGCACGCAACACCTCCAGGACACCGTTCCCTCCCGGACTCCTTCTCTGCATCATGATGATCCTTCTTCGGCTACACGCAGGAGTGACCCTGGGTAAGAGTGGCCGACTTGTGGTGAGCGGCGACTCTGGGGACACGGAGGGACAAAACACAAGCGCGCAAAACGCTACTATCGCACCGCGCACGGCGATCGTGGGCCCGCACCGAAGTAGGGAAGCGAACTCTATACACCGACTCGTTTTCCGACCCTGCGCTGAAATTCGCACAGCAACGCGGATCCTGGTGTATACGGGATCCTGGTGTATACATTTTTCGCTGTTTCCCTTGGACAACGGTGGAAAAGTATACACCACACCACCCCGACGCCGTCCCTGACCCTTAAAAAGTCGTGGGATTGAAAAAACAGCCCGCCACTGGTAATGTATATGTTCCAATTTGCGGCGAAGGGTTTAATTTTACGTGTAGCCGACTTCTCGAGATCGGCCCCTCGACCTCGTCGGTGGTCGCGCCCTGGCCAGAACCTCGGGGCGGTCCCAGCCGCGGCGACGAGAAGGCCCCAGGAGGCCCCGAGAAAACTTCATCAGGTCCCCTCTTGGGTCAGGAGGAGGCCTTCTCAGAAGGCGGCGGGTCTTTTTGGAAGCCCTCCGGCCTTCTGAGAAGTGTTGTGTCTTCTGAGGCCGGACCTTCCGAACCTTCTGAGAAGGCCCCCCCCCTCTCTCACTTCCCCCAAGCTCGCCGCCGATCTTGGGCACGGGGGTGGTAGCAAATGGGGTGATTGGTGAACCAGTCCACGTATCTGGCTTCCCCGGAGCCTCCTGGCGACGAAGGCGCCCACGTATCTCTGAAAGCGTCCGGCGGCGGGGCCGAAACCAGCTGCAACCAGCACATGCAAAACAACGCTGGGGGCGCGTTATTTTCGTGTTCAGGATCGACGGTTTGTGTTCCGTTTGGGGGCCTGTTGTCACTCGTCTAGATTTTCGTTCGCGCCGTCTTCGGTGCGGTTCCGTTCGCGCCATTTTCGCTTCGGTTCCGATTCATGCTGTCGTTTGTTTCAGCTTTGCCGCTTCGATTCTGGTTTGCGGGAAACCGAAACTTTGAATTCGGCGGAAAAAAAACGCCCCTTGCGAGGCTAAACATCAGCTGCGAGCCCCCCATGATCCGACTCCCCCCGCCTCCTCCGACCAGCTCCTCGAACCTCTTCCAATGCGGACGAGGCCGCAATAACCCCTGGCAAGAAACGCAGCCCTGAAAACCCGCGCGCGAGATGCCCACGGGAGGAGGAAACCCACAGCATCCTGAAGGCAGCATCTGCTCCAAAGGCTAATGGAATTCGTCGTCGTTTTCGTCGTCGTTTTCGTCGTCGTCGTCGTGTTCGTCGTCGTCGTCGTCGTCGTCGTGTTCGTCGTCGTCGTCGTCGTCGTCGTCGTCGTCGTCGTCGTCGTCGTCGTCTTTTTCGTCGTCTTTTTCGTCGTCGTCGTCGTCGTCGTCGTCGTCGTCGTCGTCAAGGTCATCTCCCCCCTCACCGCGCGGCGAGCGGAGCAAAAACACCCAGGGCAGCCTGAGGAGAAACGTATGGTGTCTTGATGCGCGTCCACACAAGGAGGAATCCAGAAACGGCATGAACATACTTTCTCGAAGGCCCGCCCAAATTTCTCGGATCGGCGCTGGACACCCCTCCCAAGCGCGCGGAGCGCGCCAGGGGCGGCGCCGGAGGCGCCGCCAGGGGGGCCCAGCGCCGATCCAAGGAATCTGCGAGGACGTCCGAGAAATTGTGTCGCAGGCGTCTTTGTTCTTTTATGGGCAGTGCGTCCTGGAAAGCTCTCGGGAGGCTGAGCTGTTGGGACAGGTCCCAACTTTGACGAGACTCAATGTCTCCCAGGCCGTGTCCCCCAAAACCTGGCAGGAAGGCGCATATGCAGTTTTATCGTCTTCGACAATGTAGATCACCCAACTTTGCGCACCCCGCCCCGCGCAAAAAGACGCGCGACGACGACGACGACGTCGTCGTCGTTGTCGCGCCAACCCCTGGAGGAGGGCCAGCTCGGCGGCCCCAGACGCCGACGCGCGAGGCGCGATGATCTTCGCGACCCCTCGAGCCTCGAGCCTGTCCTCCAGGGCCTCCGCCAGAACGATGAAAGGGGCTATTCGCCGCAAGAGGTCCTTAGTCCTACTGGCCACCCCCGCCCATTGCTCTTGGCCGGCGCAAAGCGCTGCGCGTACCCCGGATCGCCCTGTCCTTCTCCTCATTCTCCTCCTCCTCCTCCTCCTCATCCTCCTCCTTCTGCTCCTCCCCCTCCCCTCCTCCTCCTCCGCGATGGCGGCGGCGGCAGCATGATTGCTCATTACTGAAGGGGGGGGTGTAACTAAAGACCTGTTGCGATTAAGCCCGATCGAAGCGACATGTGAGCCAAAACTGGCCAGATTAAGCCAAATATTGCGCCGGATAGAGCGGGATTGGGCTGGATTAGGCGGGATTGGGCTGGATCGCGGGGGAGTGCGCCAGAAAATGCCAGTCTTCGACCAGGAATATACCAGCGGCGCTCCTGAACTTCATGAACATCGGTTAACCGACCCCAGATCCCCACGGGCGTGCCTGGGCCGATGCCGCTAAAACCTGGACCTCTCCCAGGGTGCGCTCTGACCAAGACTCCGGGGCGAATCCAGCGGTGGCGACGAGGGCCTCCCAGGAGGCCCAAACAGGGGGACACAAGGGAAGGGAAGCTGCATGGGTACATCTCTTCCTCCTCCGAGCGTCGCCCGCGGCGACGATTTTTCTTGAAGGGGCCAAGAGACACACACGCACACACAGAAATACACACAATGCCCAGGAGCCCCCACATTTTCCAATATTTTCTGGACTCTCGCCTTCCCCCCCACTTCCCACACTTCCCCATATTCTCCTGGGCATCGACGAGTCGTTGTGTCTGTGTCTGTATGTGTTCTTCCCCTCCTCCCACACCGCTCTCCCGGGACTTCGCCTCCGGCTCCTGTCCAAGGTGTACCTTTTCCTGTGCAAGCTCTTCAGCACCGCCTGCACCCCGCGCCCTCTGGCCGCCTGAGGCCCCGCCCGCCCGCGCCCTGTCTCCCCAATTAGAGCTTTGCGCGGCCCGCCTAGCTCTTAACCGGAAGAGGCTCGCTCTCGACCCGCAGACCAAAAAAGTGTTCCCCCTCCTGCGCTCTGCTCCTTTTTCGAGCGGCGGCGGGGCTCACAGGCCGACCCTGCAGATGCCCTCGAGCTCCTCCTGCGCCAAGAACTTGGCGCGGCGCGCCGCCTCGCGGCGCGCGGGGGGGGGCCCCGGCCGCCTCCCTCCTCGCGGACGGCGCCAGGCCGGGCGGCCGCGCCTCCTCCACCCGCCGTGGCTCGGGCGCCCGCTCCCCGTGGCCTGCTCGGCTCCGTGCGCGTCGCTTCTCGCGAGGGGATGCGGACTGCGCCTCTCGACGGGGGCCGCCGGGGGAAAAAAAAAAAATGCACACGTTCGCACGAGGCCAAGTCCACCCCGAGGGGTGCAGTGCCCGAAACCGTGCCCGAACATGTGCCGGAGTGCGAGTGTGACCGACACCGGCGCCCGAACTTCCCCGGCGGCGCCAGTGTGACCGAAGTCCTTGGCTCGAAGCCCCAGCGGTTTTCGATCTCGGTGGCCACTTAAGTTACAATATCGGGACCGTTTTCGGTCACCGACTTGTGTTCACTCACACAGCTTTTCGGCTGATAGGGGCAGGGCTCCGTGAGAAAGCGACGTGGAGGCTGAGGAGGTTGCGGAGATTGCTGCCTGTCCGTCTGCCCAGGGCATTGTTGGATGGGCTATGTTTTTGTATGTGCCTCGTCTCTCAAGCCCTGTCCCCATTGCAATCGACAAAATGATACGAAGTCACGGGAAAAGAAAACTAGGGGCACGTTGGCCGACGATCTCTCAACAAAACCCAGGGGCACGTTTGTCGACCATCTCTGGGCTGCCTCAGGGATCCCAAGGGCTTTGCTGGGTGTCCCAAGCCATCGGGGGGGTACGACATGTCCGTGGGGCACCTGCTGGCAGGCTGGCCTCACTTGACGCACCAGCCGTGCAGTTGGTGCCGAGCCCCCCTCTCGAAAAAGGAGACCTGGAGCGGTCAATCAGCGTGCTGGACGCTCCAGGTGGATCCGGGTTCCACCCGGGAAGGAAAGGCAAAGGCCAACGTGCAGCCAAGAGGGCTTCACGAGTCACGAGCCCAAGACTGTCGTGGATGGGCCCAAGATGCCCCCAGCATGGCCCGAGCACAATGCCCCTGCAGAGAGTTCAACCTTGAACGTCCGCGGCAGCGTCGCCGCCGCGTCGAAGCGGGGAGAAAAAGGTCCTAGCGGAAAAGGGGCTCTGGATACCTGGGCTTCCTTCGGGTCCGGCTGTTCATCCTGAACCGTTTCTCGCTCTCCTGGGGCCAGGGGAGGCGGTGAACGAATGAACTCGTTGTCCGTCTCCTTCAGGCCCTGTTGTTTTCATATTGCTATCGCTCGGGCTCCCTTGTCGTGCGCCTGTGCTCTTGTGTCCGCGAAGGATTCGGGATGCCGTTGGACTCATGTCCTCGCGGCTCCGCAAAGCGGCTTGCATAGGTCCAGGTAGACAGAGCGGGTCCATGAAGAAGCGCTCTCCCCAACATCAAACACGTCCGAGTCACGCCGAGATTCATGCCCCGCCCACGGTGGCCTCAAATCCCACCAGCCCTTTGGGCGTGAGTCGTTTAGCGAGCTCTCTCTGTCCTCAACCCCCCTTCTTCCCCTTCGGGGAGGGGTTTACCCCTCCCCCTACCCCCTCCCCTGGGCCTGGAGAGGGGGGGCCGCGGGTCGTCAGGGGGGTCAATTTCGACTCCTGGGAGGGCTAAAAAACGACACCCCTCACGAGGATTCTGGCCCCGACGGGGGGGGGCAGAAAAAATGCTCTCCTCTTCTTTGAAACCAAAATCATTGATTTTACTAAGGTTTCGGCCCCATTTTGGCCTTCTGAGGGGGCAGCGCTCCTCTTCCTTCATAGCAAAACCATTGATTTTACGAAGATTTTGGGCTCATGTTCTCCTTCTCAGGGGGCAGCGCTCATTTGCGCTTCTGAGGAGGTCGCAAGAGGCCCCAAGATGGCCCCAAGACGCCCCCAGGAGGCTCCCAAGAGGCCTCCCAGAGGCCCCCAAGAGTCCCCCAAGAGGCTCCAAGAGGCCCCCAAGAGGCCCCCAAGAGGCCCCCAAGAGGCCCCAAGAGGCCCCAAGAGGCCCCCAAGAGGCCCCCAAGAGGCCCCCAAGAGGCCCCCAAGAGGCCCCAAGAGCCTCCAAGAGGCCCCCAAGAGGCCCCACGAGGAGCCCGAACGACTCACACCAGGACGAGGGGCCCGAACGACTCACACCACGAAGAGCCCGAACGACTCACACCACAAGGAGGGGCCCGAACGACTCACACCAGGACGAGGCGCCCGAACGACTCACACCACGAGGAGCCCGAACGACTCACACCACGACGAGGGCCCCGAACGACTCACACCACGAGGAGCCCGAACGAGTCACACCAGGAGGAGGGGCCCGAACGACTCACACCAGGACGAGGGGCCCGAACAACTCACACCACGAGAAGCCCGAACGACTCACACCAGGACGAAGAGCCCGAACGACTCACACCACGAAGAGCCCGAACGACTCACACCAGGAAGAAGGGCCCGAACGACTCACACCAGGACGAGAGCTTTCTCTCCCTCCTCCTTCGCCTCGTCCTTCTCCCGCTCCCCCCACAAGGAGGATGTACAAGGAGGCGGGAGGAAGGAGGAACAGGGGAGATATGCGGGGGCAAGCGGACACACGCCTGAAAAACACGACTGTCGGCATGCTTCGCAAGAGTTGCTGTTGTGAGATGGGCTGGTGGGGATACGCGAAGCGTAAAGAATTTCGATCCCTGGGCATGTCCAAGAGTACTGAAGGGGCCCCAGGACACACAAATAAATACACACACATAAAAAGAATCCGCATATTCTCCCATAGTTTCTGGGTTTCTGTCTTCCCCCCCACTTCCCATATTTTCCCATGTTTTCCTGGGAACCGACGATGAATTGTGTCTGTGTTTTTTCCCCTCCTGGAGGACGCCCTGACCAGACTCCCGAGGCGGACCTGGCCGCGGCGACCGACGAGCCCCCCTGGAGGCCCCGGACGGGCAAGAACCTGGCCCCGATAGGCCGGCAGGGTGAGGTCAGGGGGAAAACAAACCTACCTCGCTGTTGACCACCCTCGCTTCCAAGAGATACCAAGCGATGCCAAACTGCGGCCTGTGCTGATTAGGCCGCTTGACGAGGATGCGCGTGGTATGTCTTGGTTTTTCCTGGAAGCGAAAGCGGGGCAGGTAATTCACGCTCTGAGAGGTGGCTTGGGCTTTGCTTGAACCCCCCACTGTGCACTGCATCTCTCGATTCCGCCTGCGGTCCCATCGTCGACGAGGCTCGTTCGATGCTGCACCGTGGGCAATCTGGCCCGACGGGCCCCCTGCAAGCCGAACGCGTAGCCTCTTGGATTCTTGTCGCGTGAGGCTCAATCCAGCACAAGAGAACCTGGTCCTCGAGGGCGTCTGGCTTCATGCCGCCCCACCTCCCCTGCCGGCGGCCTTCGTGGCCCTCTGCCTTGCGGGCCGCGGCGCCCGCGACAGGCCCGCGAGGTGCTGCAGGAACTCCGCGGCGAGCCAGGCGCGCGAGTCCCTGGGTGGACGACGACGAAGGCGACGAAATCGACGAGGAGCACGACGACGGCTCACACGACGGCGACAAGGGGTGGATACCAGAATGAAAGGGCCAAACGGCCTCACACTCTCCCTGGGTGCGTGGCTGAAGTGGTGTTTCGCGGTGCGGATTGCCGCTCTTGACTGTCGACACCCCCCCCCCTCTGCGACCCCCCCGGCGCCCCGCCCCGCGACCTCATTACCCCCGGCCCACCCGCGACCCACCCGCAACGCACCCCACGCCCCACCTGCGGCCCACCCCGCAGGCTACACCGCAACGCACCCGCGACCCACCTGCGACCCTCCCGAGACCCATCCCGTGACCTGCCCTGCGACCGCCCACAACGCACCCCCGACTCATCAACGCTGGTTTGCAAAACGATCAAAGCGGCGCCTGCGGCGGGCGCGTGCAAAGAAACATGACAATCAAGTCGGCGCTGGGCGCCGTCGGCATGTTTGCGTAGGGTTGCTCTCGAGCCTCGCCAACTGCCAACGACCCCCGCTCCTCCACTGGTGACTGTCCGCAACTGCGGGGGCGAGTCAACTATGCTAGATTTCTGTACGCCTTCCCTCGCGGGAGATGGACATAAACCCCTTTTGCAAACCGCCCTTGAGTGAAGACGACGCCTGAGGCAAAATCTGGCCAGCGCAAACCCGCACACAGAAATCGGCGGCAGATGGCATCGGAATACGGTGAACTAGCAAATCGCCTTGGCAGGGTCTGGGGTTCTAGTGCTGACGTCGGCGCTGGACTCTGAGACCGCGTGGTTCGTCCAACCTCGAGCGAACGCGGATTGCCGACAACGCGGATCGGTCGATGTCCGCCGGTTACTGGCCGCTGCCGGGGCTCGATCTGTCAACCTCTGACCTTCTTCGGCCGCCGCGGAGACCTCCAGGGACTCCCAGAGGTCTCCATAGGGACCCCCAAAGACCTCAAGACAAGACCCCCAGAGACCTCGGGGGGCAGGACGACAACGGCGACGACGACGACGACGACGACGACGACGACGACGACGACGACGACGACGTCGTGGCGCGAGGGCAGCGGAGGCGGCGGCAACGACACGGCGCGGGCACGCCTGGAGGGGAACAGGTCCGCGATCACCGCGCGCTTGGACGGGATGGCCGTGGGCAGGGCCTTGGCGGCCCTGCCAGGCAGCCGCCGTGCGAATCCCTGCCATCTCGGGCCGAGTTTTGCGAGCAGGGCGCGTGGGGGTTTCGGAGCTTGAAGGATGTCTGCGGCAAGGTGGAGCCCCGCGGTGTAGGTGCACGCTGCGATGACGCCGGCGCTGGTCTCTGACACTTCGTGGAGCGTTCAACCGACTCTGAGCCACCTGGGCCGCCGTCGTGTCAGCGCGGCGTGAAGCCACCGCACCCCAGCTGCGCATGGGCCCGCAGGGACGGGGTTCGCACGTGGCTGCAGTCCTGGCACACTCGGGCGCGAGCGAGAACGCCAGCGCCTGCAGGTGCCACAGCACGGTGACAGCCTTGCGG